ATATATATATATATATATATAATTCTAGTTCTCTTTTTTCTCTTTCATGTTATATATTAATTATAATCTAAATTACACAACAAACAATCTCCCTAAATGACATAAAAATTTAAAACACGTCTTCTTAAATGTCTTTTGTTGATAAAAAGACATTTAATTAGATTGATACATTTCCAAGTCTTTTTTAGGCATTTATACAATATAAAATCATAATTAAACATGCTTAACAACTAACTTAATAATTATTTATATCTTTGATTTATTATTTAGGCTGGACGGGGTGTACAAATACCGTCATTTAAATAGCCACACAATAGAGATAGCAAAAACATTGTTATGTAGCGTTATACAATATCGTGCCATCTTACAAAAAAATTTCTTCTAGTCTCTTTGCAGATACTATGTCGTATTAATTATAAAAGTCGCGATGGCACCATTTACTAAAAATTGAATAAAATTATAAGCATCTTCTTATAGTGCATCTACGACTTACAACATAACTCTCATGTTATGCATTCTACTTAAATTAGATTTTACAGAAAGAAAAATGCGCAAAATATTATTGTCTTATTGAAGACAATGATTGATTAAATAGATTCGATTATAAAATTGGTCCGATATTAATACGTGTGTTATTTCTTGCAATAATGTCACCAAATCTTTACTTACGTTATATAACAAAATGCGTCTTGAAAAAGTACTGCTAATGTAAATATATTATTAGATACAATTCTAATGTTATATTAATTTTATATACATTGAATAAGAGCGCAGACTCAGTCAATTATGTATAATGCATAAAATTTATAACAAAATCTTTGTTGTTAAAGACAAATGTCTAAAAATACATTGTATACTTTTATATCGTTATAATCGATTGCGAATTATCCACGCAAGTATCGCCCAATATAGAACAGATATAAAAAAAGCTTCAATAAAAAATTTCTAAACATATGCGATTGTGATATATATGTGTAAATATGTATTTACAAATTTTTATTTATTTTTATATATGTATATTCTCTTTTACGAATAATATTCTCCATAAGTTTGTGACATAATATCGAGATTCTCATCACTAAATATATTTAATGCCAGTTACTAAGTATATATTAAAAGCATAAAAATCACATATCAAAAAATTTTGCAATTTGTACATAAAATCTCTTTATATTTTTGTCTCTAATTTTCTATAATATCTCTATCGTTATATTTATTATCTGTATTATAATTTTTAACTGTCTTCAAAATTGTGAAGCTCTCCAGAAGAATAATTCAAATTTGGAAATATAATATTAAAAGAATTATGATTAAAAAGTTAGTTTTAATAAATGCTTGCAAGATATTATTAGTGTGTAAATTCATAATTTACATAATAGTAGAAGATGTAATTAAACATGAGTTATTCTTCCAGAGAACTGATTAATTTTGATCGGATATAAAATCCGAGATACACATACACGCGATTTTTGATTTCATGTATAATAAGGCCAAAGATTTAGACTTTCTCGTTACGTACCATCTTAAAATCATATTATATAGCACAATTCCTTAATAAATGGTTCATTTCTTAATAATTATTTAATTATCGTGCATAGATTTAATTCTAATATTCTTCTTTCCCATTTATGCTAGTGGGCATATGGCTTTGTTGAGTTGCACTTCGAATGACTTCAATCCATCTAAAAAAGAAAAAATGTAAGTTTATTATATTTTTCTTAAACATTGATATATAAGACAAAAATTTAAATATATGATCAATAATCATATATTCATATATAACAAAGTTTTTTTAAATTATAAGAATATATTACATATTTACCTTCCAAAAGTATAATCACTTTCTGCTCGGAAGAAATATACATGATTCTTGAATTGTAGCTTGAATACAAAATCCTTATTAATCCCGTCTTTTTCCGACGGTGTGGATACAGTATATCCTAATAATGGCAAACTAGCCAAGGGAAAGTCATCTTGATGAGACTTGTAGAAGAATAAGCAAAAGTTGGTAAATACAACCCAAAGCTTTTGCCAACCATTGCTATTTTTGAATTTCCGTAGAAGAAATCCACTAAGCTGATTCTGAAACATATGTTGATTCATTCTTATATAGAATATACAAATCTCTCGCACAATGAAAAAGATGTATGTGTGTATGTGTATATGTGTGATACATATATAATCCAGAATTCCAACATACCTGAAATGCTCGTAATTGATCGCTGTAACTAATACTTGTATTGCGATGCCAGCAAACATGAACTGTAGTATTGCTACGTTGTGAAGCTTTTGCACCTCCGCAACTAGTTCGATCTACTTCTAATCCTACACCATCTCCCACTTCATCGGCTGAACCTAAAACTTTTGTATAAAAGAAAAGAAAGTTTAAATAGAACCTTTTTACTTTCATTTGATAAAAAAATTTTTTGTGTTGCTTAGCGATTACTTACTACAAGACTTTAAACTTAAATACGGCAACTTGGCATCTGATGCATCAGCTTGCATTATAGCCATGTTCAAATCTTCTATCCATCTTTCTTTCTCTTCTTCGTTACTTGCTGCAACTGTTAACGACCTGCAGAAACAAAATGATTCAAATTTAAGAGTGTAATTTTAAACGCGAGCGATAAAAAGACATGAGGACGCATCACATTGATTTGACGCACGTTTAAGCAGTATCCAAATGAAACAATATACGTGCAGTAATTTGATACAGCACATTATTGCATGTACGTGCGCGTTGCTTCATTAATATCTGGATACTGCTTAAACGTGTGGTAAATTTATCAAACATGCGCTTCAATAAAGTCAGTTTTGTTAGTTGACTTCTCAATAATATATGGCCTTTTAACGATCATTAGTATCTCTTCACTATTATCTTCTTAATTACGCAATATAATTCGAGGAACTTGATACTCACTGATTTCCTTGTCCGTCAATAATAAACGCGAAATCTGTCCCAGTCTTATTATCTGCATCTTGAATCTTCATTCCTTTCAATGATAGTTGACCATGTACACGGAAGCATTGCGTTGGTTGTAGAGTACGGAATGTATACAATAACACGTCCGAGAACTGTAAAGATAAACGCGAAATTAATTTCGTCGCGTTGTGTCACACACACTCTTGATGAGAAATACGCAAAAGACTTACCAAGAAGAACATACGTTGTTGAAAACCTTTACGGCTATACTTCTGTAGGCATCCTTGTCTAATAAACCTTCGACCTTCTTGCACTAGATTGTCAAAGCCAGTAATGTCCCGTTGCATTTCACACAATTGCACCAGGTTCTCCTGCAATGATGAAAAGCAAATTAGAAACATTGAAACAATTTAATTTTAATTTTTCCTGAACCATTCCAATAATATAATGTATTCTCGTTTAATATACAGCGCGATAATTTTCTCTCACCGCTTGGTTTATAATTGTGAGTCCCTCGAGTAATGTCTCGCCAAGTCTATCTCTCGCTGCTAAACAATCCTCAAAATCGGTATGGTCTTTCGGATAATGATCTAATAATCCTAAAAGAACAACATCACCGTATGAGAAATTAAGAGTTACGTTGAAAACTGTGTGTGTGTGGATAATCGATATTAATCCATACTCACTGTCAATAATACTGTTATAATGCAATAATCGTTGTAAAGGTTTCAAAAGAAAAGAAGTCAACGGCAGATAGCAATGCTTCTGCGATTCGAAATCTCGGCAGAGTTGATCGAAGCGTCGCGACGTCCGCATGGAATATTCCATTTTTTCCAACACAGGAATTAGATTCTCGAGGTACTGGTCGTAGAGAGGCAGGATATTCAAGAGCGTATTGTACAAAAAGTCGCCGATATTGTGACGAGCGTTGCTCTCCCAGCGTGCCAGGCGTGCCTCCATCTCTTGAAGGCACGGACCGTGCACGTCGGCGAGCAGCTCGATTAGAGAAACCACCGATTCCCCTTCTAATTCTGCTTCCCTGGAAACTTCCTCCCGGAACCACTGCGCATAAAGAGACGATTCGTAATTCTGATTTTTTTTTCAAGGATTTAAGAAAAACTAATCTTCTTCTCGAACATTTCTCGCTAGCTTCCTCTAGCCTGGCGCAATAATTTTTTACTTACCACATTAATAACATCCATATCCTTCTTGTACGTTCGTTCTGTCATGAGGAGCTCCTTGGCTATATAATAGGCTTTATCAGTTGGCCATCTCTGGACAAAAAAATAATAACTTTTGTCAAAAAATGCAAAAATAGATTACATAGTGATAGGCAATTTATAAACGACGAACTCACCTTCGTTTTTCTAACTTCCGTCTCCTCTGCTTCCCCATTTCGCGCGTTTTTCACCGGGCTGAGATCTGGCGAATTTACGACGCCCGCGTTGTTCACCTCGACCCCGCCGTTCGTCGTTCGCTTATCCGAAGATTTTTCAGCGGTGTACACAGAATTATTGTTCTCCCGTTGATCAGATATCTCTTGCTTGTCGGCTTCGACATCTGTAAATAGATTTCAGTCAGACGACCGGGATAGAAGTTTCGCTAAACACAAGGAGAGATGAGAAAAATAAAATGATAAAAATCTTGATAATATTTGAGTATGTAAATGTAAGGCTTGTGTGATGTGTATATGCACGCATGCTATGGTGCATTCTCTTTCATTCTTTTTTTTTTATTATGAATCTCTATTGCGCTCGAAAAAAAGATATCGATGATCGATGTGAACACGACAAAAGCTTTCGGGAAAATTATTCCATGTGAGTCGAGATGGTATCTATAACTATATAAAATCTGTACATAAACTACTTGTAAAGATCTACATGCACGGAGAAACAGTGATACTTTCAATATATTAACAGACATTGTGATATTTATAGCAAACGCGTCGTTGAAGATCGCTGCTGCTTTTTTTTTCAAGCAACATTAAAAATTCTTTGTTATACTCGATATTTTTTTATCGTAGATTTTGCTAAAAATTCTATCGTATTTTAATTATAATGGCCATTTTAGCGATAATACGAAGAGATAAGCCTTGGTATAAACATTAAAATGCATTTATGCTAAAATAAAGGCACGTGTTTCGCAGTTGACAATTCTAAAAATCTCAGAGCAGGAGATACGTGCAGTGATTTTCCGTATAACGGATAAATCCAAGAATAAAAAAGGATCCATCTTTTCTACGAAGACGACGATATGTAGGGTGACAATATACAAGCGAATAAGCCACTTTCGAATAAACGAATAAGAAATCAAAGTTACAGTGTATGCGAGAGAAAAATTTCATTTTCACGTAAATTCATGCCTAAGCGCGTCTATAAACGTATGTGCTCTAATGAGTAATAAGCAAATTAACGGCTATAAGAAACAAAATTAATGCTAAGAGAAAATCTACATAACGCATTCTATATTTCATCGACGTGAGAAACGCAAATCGCATGCGGAAATAACAGCATCGTGACGAGGTCGCGTGATATTCGCAGCGGAAAGCCTCTTAAGCAGTGAGTCTTTGATCAAGTTTCCACTTGACGAAGACGAAGACGACGAATGCGACATAATTTATGTGAACGAAAAAAAAAGTGTATTATACAACGTATCTAGAAGTAAGCTATAACGCTTACGTTTTGCATCAGAGCTAATGGCATAAAAATCACTGAAACACGAGAATGGGCAGTGACGCATTTGCATGAATAAAGCCTTGGCAATATATATATTAAACCTTTGCTGCTTCAATTAATAGCCATATTATCATAGTCTTATACAGCAGCAACAAGGTCGTGTATATATATATATATATATATGATTCCAAGGATATTTTGATTTTCACAATCTTTTGATTCCTTAAAATCCCGAAACAAAAGGCTTATAAAAATGTGTTTTATCACACCTTTATTTAGTACGATATTCAAGACCAAGATATGTCAGTTTTATTAATCATTTTATTCTTCTTCTCAGCAATAAATTTCTTATCATAGTCTTATACAGCAACAAGATCGTGTATATGTATATGATTGCAAGGATATTTTGATTTTCACAATCAAAATCCTTAAAATCCCGAAACAAAAGGCTTATAAAAATGTGTTTTATCACATATTTATTTAGTACGATATCCAAGACCAAGATATGTCATTTTTATTAATCATTTTATTCTTCTTCCCAGCAATAAATTTCTGCAACTACAATTTAAGGTACTGTCTATCTGTCGATGCAAATGCGACGAAGAGCCCAGACTCGGCACTAAACGGGAATTCGTGCTACTTAAACGAAACGAATTATGAAATATATAACGACGAAGAAAAAAAGATCGTAATATCCACAGTTACACAGACAGGCATTGTAAGGGCATTACTCACACATATTGCCATCCGGTCGAGCGACGAATCCGGCATTGCGGTAAAAAGATACGGTATGAAGAGCAAAAAAAAAAAAAAAAAAAAAAAAAAAAAAAAAAAAAAAAAAAAGTTGCCCATTCACACGTCGCGTGATTGTACTACATACTCCCTTTTCCGCCTGACCCTCTAATTGGGCGACGACGTTCGTGTAGCGTCGCGCTTTGTTCGCTTAATTTATGTACGATTATTAATGATACATTATTACGTGCAGTCGTGTACCACTTTCCTCTCGGACCTTGGTCGAGGCTAATTGTAAGACACTCGTTACGTGCACGCTCGATGTTTCGGGTCATTGTAAGATTTCCGAGACCGCGACCTGGAATATGCAATATCTATTATTTTTTATTATTGACATTTGCTAGTCTATTTATTCATTGATTTAGCAAAATATATGGGAGAGTCCATTACATCAATAAGAGGATATGAAGAGCAAAAAAAAAAAAAAGAGAAAGAAAGAAAAGAACAAAGATGTCGCATTGCATATCGGGGAAAAACGAGGATTCAATCCGTAGAAATTACTATGTAATAAAACGAAGAAAAATTGCAGAGACCAACCACCTGGACCGCGCATATATCGGGTCCGAAATTAAAATGTCAGTCTAACCGCGCGTGGACGGACAGAATGAAAATGGAAACGAGAAAGAAACGAATTGAAAAGAGAAAGAGAGAGAGAGAGAGAAAGAAAAAAACTGTCGAGAAAAACTAAAGCGAAATTATTGACGCAGATACGTTCTTTGGACTTTGTATATAATTTATTGTTATCATAATTAATGTATCAATAATCAATGTACAATAGATTTCCCTACGCTTGGAAATACCGCTCTCGTCCTTCGGGGACGCTGGTAATTCCCCCACGTCCTTCCACCGAGCTCCGATATATCGTTCGAACATGATCGGATCAATCGACGAGACGGCGCGTCTCAACCGGGGGAGAATCACCGCGTAAAACAGATATATTTTTTTTATATATATTTATATTTATATTATATATATAGCGTTAACAAGTGTACGGTATATCGATAAACGATCAAAAAGTGTTACACAAATTACAAACGGGGGGCGAGGGGAGGAGCGTTACGCCGACACGACGGACACCCCGACGTACTGCTACGGTGTATCTTGCTTTAATTATCTTGGCTCATCGCCACGAGTCATGCCGATCGTTAAATCGGGTTCTCTAATTGTACAGAATTAAATGTATGCATGCATACACGTGTGTGCGTGTGCGCGTATACAGGGTGTCCCACTATATCCTGCGGATTGTCCCTTCAGATATTAGAAGATGAATTAACAATGAGAGAAAAATGACGATGGTTCAACCTGGTTGAAGCTTCGATAATCGTGGAGTTTTTATTTAAAAGTAACGATTTATAGAGTCTTTATAATCTCCGAGGATGCGCTCTTTCAGAGTAAAACACACTGAAAAAAAAAAAGATGTAATAGAATCTTTTCTCTCAGGAAATTTCCAAAACTGATTTTATCTCGATAAAAATTTGGAGCTAAGCTATTTAAGGGAAGGTAAAGAGATATTTACGATACAAGAGGACACTCAGTAGCAATGGGGCATCCTGTATATACGAACGTCGTACATTTCGAACTCTCACAAATCGAAAAGTCAGTTGACACGCGAGTAACGTCGTCTTTGCAGACCGGAAACGGAAGATGAGCGAGCTCGAAGTTAAATTGGAACAATAACATGCGATTACCGTCAAAAGTCGATGATTTTCTCAAGGACTCGTTTATTGCTAGTCTGGCAAGCCATTGGAAGAGACGAGGTGTTAAAAGCCAAAGAACGACGTAATTAGTGAAATTACAAACTGGAAGACAAACAATAGTTTCAACGAGAACACTACGTGACATAAATTAACACTCGATCTCTTATATATTGGGATTTCATATAAATATTATTATTAAAATCGACAGTCTTATAAAAATGTTTGACACTGAGAGATTAAGATATAGGAACACAATGCGCTTTTACGTTGTCATTTGCAACGGTATAGAAAAGATGGCTTGTCAATTTGGTGTATATATATATATATATAAATGTCGATTTTTTACTTTTAATAAAGTTTCAAGCCGAATATGCCGTTTGGACAGGTGACAAATATTCTCAACGAATATCCGAAGAGTAAAAAGAGTTCTGTGTAAGAGCAATTAATGAATTGCTTATTTCTAAATATTGTTTTAAAATTACGATTACGGCCAAATTTATTCCAAAATACGCGGAAACTGACCACGTCGATGCACGTCCTTAGCTATAAAATGAAGTGCATTTATATTCACATGCAGTAGAGCTTATAAAAAAAAAAACTTAAGGGAATATTTCAATGTAATCGTAATTAATCTGTTTATAAAATATTTGGCACTATTTTCGTTAAACAAATTTTGCTACGCGCCAATATGTGCATATTTCTAATTTTTTTTCGGAAATAAAGAATTTATATAGCATCCTGAATTTGTCACATACAATGGAATGTAGTGTTTCATGTGACAGAAACATGAATGATATAGAAACATGTTAGGTTCATAGAATGTATTAACAAAGTTTGATTAAAATGCTTTCTAATGTGCATTTGTGAATTACCAATGACAAAAGTTTTTCCATTTCCGTTTTTTCTATATTATGATCGACTAAAATGTGTATTAGGCAAAATTAACTTTTCCTCTTTTTGTCTTACAGATCGCTCAAACGTTAACATATATGTATAATTTGAGTGATATCCAAGCATTACGTGAATTAGCGTTTAAATTTATGCCAGAGACTCATTTCTTGAGTGTTCCTTCTATGTGTATTTACTAATGCGCTTCGAATTACGGCAAACTTAAAATTCCAAGCTTTTCCAATGTTCTAAATACATTTTTAAAAATGCAAAGGATTAAATGTCCCACGGAAAATTTAACTTTCTCGATTTTTAGATTAGTTTTCAGAAGAATGACAGAAGAATTAAATCATTGTTACAGTGTTTTCTTCCATCAGAACGAAATCTGACCCAACGCAAGTTTTAACCCTCCATTGCAAGATTTCTCTTTCCGTTAATCAATTTTGAAAATAAAAAAAACAACAGCAAATTTCGTATGAAAAATACGAAAACGCGTGTTTCTTCTAGC